GTGATCTGCCTTAGTATAAGGATCCTCAGCAGACACAGCCCCCCCCCAACACACACACACACACACACACACACACACACACACACACACACACACACACACACACACACACACACACACAGTTTCTAAGCTTTAGTCTCATGAAGAATATCGAGTTATTGTCTGGTAGAGTTTTGAGCTTTGTTTGTTTGGGGGGGAAATGTTCGTCTCCTCTTCAGCCTTTAAAGAAGAAGAAGAAGAAGACGTGTTGGTTTTATGAACTAACACATGCAGCAGATTCAGTTCAGTCCGTTCAGTCAGCCAACGCCAGCAGCCTGGAGCCAGGATCCAGAGTCATGATAGAGTCTTAATAGAGTCTTAGTAGAGTCTTGATAGAGTCCCGCCTCCATCTCTTCTTTTCAAACATAATTACACACCGTACAAAAACAGGCTTCAAAATAAAAGTAGTGCTGAATTCACTTTTTGAAACACTTCAATCACACACTATTTCACATCAAATGTCAACATAACATGGCACCGAATGCAGAACGTTGGAGTAAATGTGTGTGTGTGTAAAGACCCCCCCCATAGACATGGCACTGTGATGACCTCTTCCTTCATCATGCTGCTGATACTTGGAGAGATTCGGGCGAAGAGGAGCTCGGCTACCTGAGCCTCCGTTCAAGTAAAAGCCCTTTCTGGTGGAGGAATGATGGCGGTTCAGCTTCAGGTGGGTTTCTATAGAAGTGCAGAGGTGGTGGGGTGGGGGGGGGGGGGCGAGTCCCTTCTGTTCCAGGCGGGAGACCCTGTTTAGAGTCAAAGGAGCACCCATTTCTTTTGAGAGATAAGGCTTCGAGGAGCAGCGCTCTGCTTCTCTCGACCAAAGGGAGGACTACCTGCTGTACGGGTCCCCGGGGTAACCGTGGGAAGAGGAGGGGCCTGGCAGGGAGTCGTCGTCCATGGGGGGGGCGGAGGGCTGGGGGGCCCAGGGGGCCGGAGCCTGTGGGGGGGTGTAGGTCTGAGTGATGGTGAGGAGAGGCCCCGAGGTAGAGGGGTCCGCCGCCGCCAGCCTGGAGGCCCCCGCGGCCGTCTGGGAGCCGCGGTGGATGCGATGGCTGACGATGATGTTGTTGCCAAAGCCGCCCATGGACGCCATGGTGGTGCTCTGCTCCCTCTGGACCACTGCCGTCATCCCACCCTCAGCGATCAGACGGCGGATTCGAGCCAGAGCGTCTTCACCAGAACCGAAGTCTGGAGACTCTGCTGGAGGAACGAGAGGATTTAACTGTTACTCACAGCATAATACTCCACTATACTACTATACACCCACAGCATAATACTCCAC